TGGGGGAGTTATAAGTAATGATTAAATATTTAGACAATTCTGTCTTACAGAATTTCAGAATATCAAACTGTTTTTTAAAATGTTTGAATATTTAATCACTACTTATACACTCTCAGCCCAAATAAATCATAGTAATATATAGAAGTATCACTATATATTTAGAATTTTCTGAGATCAAATTCTATACAGGATATACAAGAGTCTAAGGAGGAATGCTAGGCTCCAAATTGGAATGTTATTTTTAAATTCCTTTGGACAATGAAAGGCAGGAAATGCTTATCACATTCATAGATAACAAATTCCTGAATAGCTAAGATTAGAGGAAACAGAAAATGGCATATATATTTCATTATAAGTAATAAAATTTAACAAAATTTCAAAATAACAAAAACATTGGACCAACACAGATAAGAGGATTAGGTTTTCATCTCTGTTATCCAGTTTTTAGGGGTGGAATCATCAATATCCAAACAGAAGCTGTAATGTAAGTGCTATTGCTATTGTTATTATTAAAAAAAGGAGTTTGATAAGTACTTATGTGGTGGTAGAATTGCTGAATACATTTAAGTAAATATTTAGCCACTTAAATGGCTATTATAACTATTAATTTCATTTGTATTCCTGTTTGTATGGCCCCTTCCAAATACATGATGAGAAGGTGGATGAAGAATTATATTGAAGTTAATGATAGTTATTCTTAATGCTATGGATTTGATTAAGTTAAAAGATATAATCTGGTTAATTTGGCTGAAGTTTTTTTTTTCTTCAGTTCCTAAATAATCTATCTAGACTTTACAGTCCTGGATCTTTATTATTATACAAGCCAAATGCTTCACAAACATTTCTTTTACTAGGCTTTGCATTTATTTAGATATTTAACTTGTTGGTGTTTCCTGATTTTATTTCTTTATTTACTTTCTACTTTCAAAGTCAAAAGTTGGAAATTTCTTCAGGAACCAGAGGAAGAAGATGTCAACTACATTGACAAGAAAATGATGTCATATGAATAGAAGTCTTGGCCTTTCATACTTTTGTCATGATATCAGTCCAAATATGTAAGTCAGAAAATTTTGTTACCATACTTTGGTCAATTGGTCCCTGGATGTCTATGCCACTGATTGAATACAATTTGAAGTTTTTCTAGAAAAGATACTTTCTGCAAATTATATATCTTCCAACTAATTTTGTCCCAAGGCAACTACAAAGAAATGTCATTAATCTCTCTGTCTCTCTCTGTCTCTCTGTCTCTCTGTCTCTCTCTCTCTTTCTCTCTCTCTCTCTCTCTCTCTCTCTCTCTCACACACACACACACACACACACACACACACACACACGAATGACAAATGACAAATGACAGTTGAAAAAAATCAAATCCTAGGTTTTCATGGTATAAAAAAACATCAGGGGGCGCTCTTTGCCTGCTGTTGAATTTCTGACCATGAACCCTGGGCATACATGTCTGCAAAGTTGAAAACCAACGAAACTTTATTTCTATATAGCTTACAATTGCTGATTTGACTGTGCTTTTCTAAATAAAAAGGCCCCTACCAGACAAAAGCAACCAGAGAATTTTGCAGGAGTAGAATAATTGTTCTCATTCTATTGTTGTCCCACTTGTTTTTTTTAAAAAAGTTCCAATAAACTGGAAGGAAGAAGGAGGAAACTGCAAGGGGAAAATCCAACATTTTTCAAGTGGGGAATTATAATGGCAAACCATTTATCAGAAGATACTGGGCCTGTTCTGCTCGTCATCATCTCCTGTGTATGTTGTGGGTGCTGATTGTACTCCTAACATTTATTTGTTAGACTATGATACCAATTCTCTCTCTCTTTCAACTCAAGTTAGGGTTACTTTGAAAATTTACTCCACAGCAGCATTTCCTATTTAATAAGGTTATTATTCTTATTGTTGTAAAGATAAAAGCCCAAGTCCATTTTCCATTTTTTTTGTTTTTTTCTTGTCATCTCAACTTTACACACACATACACACACACACACACACACACACACTTATAATTGTAAAAATACTTGTAGTTCCAAAAATGATGGGGATGTATGTACACCCACCCACACAATAATATTGGTCACTGACTTCAATAAACAATGATCAACAACCCATCTGGAAATTTCCACATGCTTTCTCTTCTGTATCTATGTGTGGTTAAAGTCCAGTCTTTTAACTCATTTGTAGTATCTGCTTTCAGTTTGAGCTCAACTTCATAAATCATAAGAGAGATAATATATGAACCACCCAAAGGAGAATTTTCAGTCAGATTAGTTTGGGTGGAGAGTTCACATACCCTTAAACCTTTCTCCTTGAAAAATGGGATTTAAATGTGCAGCTTTCTTACCAGCTGCTTTGGAGTGGTACTAGCCACACCAGAGTTGGGGTAGCAACATTACTGATCCCATACCTTCCCCTTCCCTACTAAAGGAGCAATCAAGGCTGCTCTATCCCTACTATCTCCCCATAAAGCATAGTGGAAACGGCCACCATTCATCAAAGCAAGTTCTGTCCTTAGGGGTCAAGTGACAATCAAAAGAGCAGGTGCATTTTTAAACATTTATTTATTCCACTCTCCTACTGAGTGACACTGTGGGAAAGAGGGAGTGCTCAAATGCCACCAGCAGCTGTTCTTTGGCATCACACCTGCTGTTGGGCCACCCACTTGAAGGCACAGCAGCCGAAACATCACCCATCCTCTCTCTTCACTTGTTGCCGATCTTAGTCCTTGTGGTGGCCTCACAACACTCATTTCACCTTCTGAGGCGAACGGTGTGTGAGAGAATATGCTACGAAGGGTATATGCTAGGAAGATATGCTGCAAAGAATATGCTGCAAAGGAGGAAGCCTTTGAAAACTGTCTGATGTCTTCTGCCCTTACCTGAAGAAACCCAACTGCAGCACCTCATAAGGAAGAAAATAGTCTTTACTACTAACGGTTCCTTGCCCAGACATCCATTGCCTTTTGCTTTTATTTATTTTACTGGAGCGGCTGGGAGCTGTGAATTACTGGAAACCCCTTCACCAAAGGCAGGATCCCTCCCTCAAGCACTGATCCGCAGGAATAATTGACCAACAGAAAAGTGTACAGTATGCATGGATGATGGGAACTGCAATCCCACACATCTGGATGTTAATAGTTTAGGGGAAACTTGTACCGCTGCGCAAGAAAGCAACTTCGGCCAAACTTTTTATTATTCTCGCCCGGGTGAGAAAATTGAAAGCAACCCACCCGCTTCCAACGGAGATAATATAGTTCAAATTAAATCCGCGTCGCCCCTTTCCCAGACATGCTTGCTTAATAATCCTTTTCGGACTTATTGTTGATTGCGGGCCATTCAGTGTGGATTTAGCTTCCACCCCATCCTTTCCCTTTTCTTCTCTCTTTCTCTGCGCAAAGCTGACATCTAAGCAGAGACGCGGACAGACTCCCCAGCTTCCCGGCTCTACTTCAGCCAAAAAAATAATAATAAAAATAAAATAAAATACCCTAGCAGACCAGATTTCCCCTTCTCCGCCTCGTGTTCCCCACCCCCCTCTCCTGGCTGCCAATTTATTTGATTGACAGCCTATGGAGCCATTGGGGCTCAGGTCAAAAAAAAGTGGGGGGAGAGCTTCTCGAAAGCAGGCGATGAAGAGGCGGAGAGTCGATTTACTCCGACTCAATGAAAAGAAAGGTGGGCGGGGTGGGAGAGGAAAGACCAATTGGAGGAGGAGATGAAGATAGCGCGGACCCGCAGGGGGAACGGGGGGGGGGAGTCGCCTCTGAAAGTAAAGAGGAAAGAGCTTAATGAGTACCGTACAAAGTTTCTGCCTGGCTCGCTGCTGTGCGGTGTGTGCGGGCAAGGAGGCTTTCCCCCCCTCCCGCCCTCCTTTCTTTTCTTCCCGCGGAATCAAGCAGCTCATCTGAGGGTGCGAGGGGGCTCGCAACGCCGAAGCGAGAGGCTGCCTGTATTGTCTTCCAAGGCAAACCTTCGGGATTCCAAAAGTGGGCAACTGATTTTAACAGAGTCAGAGGACCAGTTGCTTCCCTTCCCCGCTTCCTCTCTGCCTGGCTCTCTCGCATTCACTCCGGGATCCCTGCCTTTCACTTGCTTCCCTTCCTTCCTTCCTTTCTTTTTGACACTCTTCCCTCCCTCCTCCCCTCAACCTCTCGAGAGAAAACGCTGAGCTCAGCGAATTTGCAAAAGCGGCTCGCCTGTCAAGAGCCCAGCCTGGAACCGAGCTGGTTGCGCCGCCGAAGGAGGCACGGAGGAGCGGCTCGCTTTAGCCCAGCGGAGAACTTTTTCTTTCTAACAATGCCCGGCAGCAGCCTGGACCGCGCGGACGTCCCCGAAGTCTTCTTCGACCGACGGCGGCAATTCCAGCTTCGGCCGGACGGGGAAAGAGAAAAGTAAAGCTACGGAGCAGCAGCAGCAGCAGCAGCAACAGCAGCCCGTAAGTGAAGGAGGGACTGCTGGCACATCTTCCCTTTGGAAGGCGCTTTCGGTTGCCTGCCAGCAAAGCCGGGGAAGCAGGAGGGAACTCGGCTCAACTCCTCTCCCCTTCAGCGGGGCATTTTGTGGAAGGGAACCGACTCCCCGTCCTTTTTGAGCCGACCTCGGGGGCTGCGGAGTGTTCTTGGGCATGCAAACGCTCCCCGGTCGCACAAGTAGCTTGGGGAGGGAAACTGGTATCAGCCTGGCTCTCGTTGGAAGGCGGCAGCAGCAGCAGCAGCAGCAGCAGCTCCTGGACCCTCCGCCGACTCTTCGCCTTGGGCTGGCCTTCGTCTGCAGCGGGGAGAGAGGGCGAGAGATGCCCGCGGGGGCGGAGGTGTTGACAGCCCTTCTCTTCCACCTGAGCGCTCCCGGTAATGTGGATTTGACGCTGCTTGCCTGACGCTCGCTGGACTTTCCACCTTGTTGGGTTGGTTTGCCTTGGTTTGCGGGCTGTCCTGGACTGTGGCTGTTATTAGACAGATTTGCTTCGCTTCCCCACGTTGTCCCTCATCTGCATCATGGGCTGCTGGGGGGTGGGCAGCGCTTCTTCTTTTTTGCTTCCTTGCCTTGCGGTCTTCCTCCTGCTGCCGCTTCGTGCCTCCACTGAGCCCAGGCAGCTTTTCAAGGTTCTGGAAGAGCAGCCACCAGGCACCTGGATAGGCACCATTGCCACCCGGCCGGGCTTCACCTATCGCTTAAGTGAGCACCATGCTCTTTTCTCCATAAATGCTACATCCGGAGATCTGCACACACTTGCCACTATTGACCGGGAGAGCCTGACCAGCGATGTGATGGACCTTGTGGTGCTTTCCAGCCAGCCAACGTACCCAAGTGAAGTGCGCATCATGGTGCTTGACCTCAACGACAATGCACCTGTCTTCCCAGATCCTTCTATTGTGGTGACTTTCAAAGAGGACACAGGTAGCGGCCGACAGCTTATCTTGGACACAGCTACTGATGCAGACAGTGGAACTAATGGGGTAGACCATAGCTCTTACCGCATTGTGGGTGGCAATGAAGAGGGCCGATTCCGACTTAACATCACTCTTAATCCTAGTGGAGAAGGAGCCTTCCTGCACTTGGTCTCTCGTGGTGGGCTGGATAGGGAAGCTACTTCAGCCTATCAGCTGCTGGTGCAGGTAGATGACAAAGGGGAACCTCAGAAACATGGATTCCTACAAGTCAATGTCACTGTTCAGGATATCAATGACAACCCACCTGCTTTTAGCCAGACTCTCTACCAAACTCGAGTGCGTGAAGATGCACCAGTTGGGGCCAGTATTCTTCAGGTAATGGCAGCAGATGCTGATGAGGGCACCAATGCTGATATCCGGTATCGTCTGGAGAGGGCAGAGAGTACTGGAGGAGATGGAAGTGGGATATTTCCTTTTGAGGTGGACCCTGAAAGTGGGGTCATCCGTATCCGGGAGGTTTTGGACTATGAATCTCAACGGCAATACTCACTAACAGTTCAGGCTATTGACCGTGGAATACCAGCTTTGAGTGGCCGTGCTGAGGCTCTAATCCACCTGCTTGATGTGAATGATAATGAGCCAAGGGTCAAATTTCGCTATTTCCCAGCCACCTCCCGTTTTGCCTCTGTAGATGAGAATGCAGCACCTGGCACAGTTGTGGCATTGCTGACTGTGAGTGATGCTGATTCACCAGAAGCCAATGGGAATATTTCTGTATCCATCTTGGGTGGGAATGAACAGCGCCATTTCGAGGTCCAGAGCAGCAAAGTACCCAATCTCAGTCTTATCAAAGTGGCAGCTGCTCTTGATCGAGAACGCATTTCCACCTATAATCTCACCGTGGCTGTGACTGACAACTTTGGACGTTCTCCTCCATCACCTGATTCAGTCCCTTCTTCTCTGAGTCCAGATGGCGCCTCTCCTGCCCCAGTGAGCCGCTCTTCTGTGGCCAGCCTTGTCATCTTTGTGAATGATATCAATGATCACCCACCTGTTTTTGGGCAGTCGGTATATCAAGTCAATATTAGTGAGGAAGTACCACCAGGCAGCTATGTACAGGGCTTAAGTGCTACAGATCATGATTCTGGTCTTAATGCCAACCTGAAGTACAGCATAGTTTCTGGAAACGAGTTGGGTTGGTTTTGTATTAGTGAACACAGTGGCCTAGTTACTACTAAGAGTGTTGATACTGTCATGGCTACATCTCTGCTAGGTATTTCTGGTCAAGACGTGGCAGCATCTGGTGGGCTGGACCGGGAAATAGCTTCACAAGTGGTTCTGAATATTAGTGCCCGTGATCAGGGTGTGCAACCTAAAATTTCCTTCGCAAAACTGGTAGTGAATATCCTGGATGTTAATGATGAAAAGCCCCAATTTAGTAAGCCAGATGGGTATCATGTTTCAATAGCAGAAAATACCCCTCCAGGAACTGAGTTGCTAGTCCTCACTGCTGTGGATGGTGACTTGGGAGACAATGGGACTGTGACATTCATCCTGCAAGAGAGCGAAATTGGGGGAAATTCAGGTGGTTTTCCAATAGTTAGTTGGGGAGCCTTTCACTTGGATCCTGTTTCAGGTAGACTTAGCACAATCTCACAGTTAGACAGGGAAGAACAAGAACACTATTCACTGCATGTCCTGGCCACTGATCTGGGCAATCCTGCTCTCTCTTCAGTGGCTCTGGTCAATGTGAGCTTGCTTGATGTGAATGACAACAGCCCTTTATTCTACCCTATTCAGTATTTTGCTCACATCCAAGAAAACGAACCTGCAGGCAGCTACATTGTCACTGTGTCTGCTAGTGACCCAGATCTTGGACTCAATGGCAGAGTTAGGTATAGTATCTCAGCAGGAGATACTTCCAGGTTTCAAATTCATAGTCAGACAGGGGTTATCACCACAAAAACCACTCTAGACAGAGAAGAAAAAACTGCTTATCAATTACAAGTAGTAGCCAGTGATGGTGGCAATTTGCAGTCCCAGAATCAGGCCATAGTTACAGTCACTGTTTTGGATACTCAGGATAACCCCCCAGTATTCACTCAGGAAATCTACAGCTTTGTGGTGTTTGAAAATGTTGCCCTGGGTTATCATGTAGGCAGTGTTTCTGCCCACACTATGGATCTCAACATCAACATCACATATCTGATCACTACAGGTGACCAAAAGGGTATGTTTGAAATTAACAAAATGACTGGCTTGATCACCACTGCTGGTATTATTGACAGGGAAGAGCAAGCATTTTACCAGCTGAAAGCAGTGGCCAGTGGTGGAACAATAACTGGAGATGCTCTGGTCAATATAACAGTTAGAGATTTAAATGACAATTCACCCCACTTTCTTCATGCAGTGGAAAGTGTGAATGTGGTTGAAAATTGGAATACGGGGCATACCATTTTCCAAGCCAAAGCTGTTGACCCTGATGAAGGTGCAAATGGCAGGGTTGCTTACAGCCTAAAACAAAATCCTAAAAACCTGTTTAGTATTGATGAACAAAGTGGTGCTATCAGTTTGACAGGACTTCTTGATGTAAACGATGGGTCTTATCAAGTGGAGATTATGGCCTCTGATTTGGGAGTTCCAGAACATTCCTCTAGTTTCATTTTAACTGTTTCTGTTCATGATGTAAATGATAACCCACCAGTATTTGATCAGATTTCTTATGAAGTCATTATTTCTGAATTGGAGCCTGTGAATTCCAGATTTTTTAGTGTGCATGCTTCCGACAAGGATTCAGGTACAAATGGTGAAATAACTTATAACATAATTGAAGGAAATACAGGAGATGCCTTTGGCGTATTTCCAGATGGCCAGCTGTACATAAAAAGTGAACTAGACCGTGAAGTGCAGGACAGATATACACTATTGGTTGAGGCTTCTGACAGAGCAGTAGAACCACTCAGTGCCACAGTAAATGTTACTGTTATTCTGCAAGATGTAAATGACAACAGACCACTGTTTAACAGCACCAATTATGTTTTTTATTTTGAAGAGGAACAGAAAGGTGAATCCTTTGTAGGTAAAATAAGTGCTGTTGACAAAGATTGTGGATCTAATGGGGAAGTCAGATATTTGTTTGCACACATGCAGCCTGATTTTGAATTGAATGCTCTAAGTGGAGAAATAAAAAGTACTCATCAGTTGGACAGAGAATCCCTGATGAGACAAAGGGGAGTTGCTGTATTTACACTTACAGTTATTGCAGTAGATCAAGGGTTGCCAAAGCCTCTAAGAGATCAGGCAATAGTGCAGGTGTACATGAAGGATATAAATGATAATGCGCCAAAGTTTTTGAAAGAACTGTACCAAGCAACAATATCAGAATTAGCCCCAAACCTAACACAAGTTTTAAGAGTTTCTGCTTCAGATGTCGATGAAGGTAATAACGGACTAATCCACTATTCTATAATTGAAGGAAATGAAGAAAACCAGTTTGCGATAGACACTGGCACTGGCCAGGTGACTTTAATTGGGAAATTGGACCATGAAGCTACTGCATTTTACTCACTTACAATCCAAGCAGTGGATTCTGGGACAGATCCCCTAAGCTCCCTTTCTATGCTGAACATCAATGTGTTGGATGAAAATGACAACAGTCCTTCATTCCCTAAAACTGTTTTATTTGTTGATATCTTGGAAAACATGAGAATTGGAGAACTTGTAACTTCAGCCACTGCTACAGACTCAGATTCAGGTGACAATGCTGACCTTAATTACAGTATTACAGGAACGAATAATCATGGCACATTTAGCATCAGTCCTAATACTGCCAGTATTTTCCTTTCAAAAAAGTTGGATTTTGAAACACAGTCATTGTATAAACTAAACATAACAGCAAAAGACAAAGGGAGGCCTCCGCGGTCTTCCACCATGTCAGTTGTAATATATGTCAGGGATTATAATGACAACCCACCCATGTTTACAGCTGGAGACATATTTAAGTCTATTGTTGAAAACATTCCTATTGGGACCTCGGTCATTTCTGTAGAGGCTCATGATCCTGATGCAGACATTAATGGGCAGTTGGCATATACAATCATCCAGCAGATGCCAAGGGGAAACCATTTCCATATAGATGAAGTCAAAGGGACAATATATACAAGTGCTGAAATAGACCGTGAATTTGCTAATCTCTTTGAATTAACAGTCAAAGCCATGGATCAGGCTGTGCCTATCGAATCTAGAAGATTTGCTTTGAAGAATGTGACAGTTCTTATAACTGACCAAAATGACAATGTTCCAACTTTTGTATCCCCAAATGCTTTGGCTGTAGAACCTTCTGTTGTAATAGGTACAGTCCTAACTACAATTGTGGCTGCCGATCCTGATGAAGGAGCAAATGGGGAAGTTGAATATGAAATAATTAATGGGGTCACCGACATATTTATTCTGGATCGCTACAGCGGAGAACTGAGAGTGTCATCAGCTTTAGTGCTATCCCAGCTTATGTACAGCTTCATCATTTCAGCCACAGACCTTGGCCCTGAAAGAAGAAAATCAACCACTGAGATGACTGTAATTCTACAAGGACTTGATGGCCCTATTTTCACTCATCCAAAATATATTACTATTTTAAAAGAGGGCGAACCTATTGGGACAAACGTGATATCCATTGAAGCAGCTAGTCCTCGAGGGCCAGAAATTCTGGTGGAGTATTTCATTGTATCAGTACGTGGTGAGGACAAAAAGTTTGGCCGCCTCTTTACTATTGGCCGCCACACTGGGGTGATTCAGACTGCTGCTGTTTTGGACAGGGAGCAAGGAGCACGCCTGTATCTGGTGGATGTTTATGCCATTGAAAAATCTGCAGCTTCCCCTCGGACCCAGAAAGCTGAGGTAAAGATTTTTGCTTATTTCGTTATTTTTTTTTCCTGTCCTTGTCCTCTCTCTCCATATACCTTTTAATCTCCAAAATACAACACTATTGTTTGTTTGCTTTCTTATCATCTTAAACTCTCATTGTGTGCAGTATTTATTAGTACTAGTTCTTTCTGAATTCATTGTGACTTCTGAATCAACACTTTTAATCTTGGAAGTGTTACTTTCTTTAGAATTAACAAGATACTGTCACACTTCAGAAGTAATTTGTGTGATGGTATATGAACAAAGATTTCTCTGCATAATTAGTACTTGCCCCAAATATTTTGCTAGTTTTGAACTAAAGTGTAGAGTTTGAATATTTTTGTGTTATACTCATTTAAGTAATAAATATGAAGTGTAAGGGTATTTATTATTGTTCTATCTCTATTGCCCTGCAATTTGCATTACCTGTTTATACCTGATATTTTTAAGTGTAGGCAAAGGGCAATTAGAGGAAAGAAATTTTGCTTTAGGATTGATTTCAGCTTAAATTGTTGTATATGGATTTTTTTTTTACTGTACCACACTGTGACTTTTTCTTCTTAATCATTATACAATAATACAGTGTTGGATGAGACCCAAGGAAACTTAGCTGGTTCTTCCAAATGAGTTTCCCTTTACCATTCTTTCCAGTTTCTATTTCTCAAGCCTTGCCAATATTCAGCTTTATAAAAACATGCAGAAAAGATGAGAGTTACAGAAGCCAAATGGTGAATATCAGAATGATTTTTTTATTTCAGTGGTTCAGGCTACATGGATTCCAAAACATTACAAGGACATCACTACTACTACTACTACTACTACTAGTACTAGTACTAGTACTATTATTGTTATTATTATTGTTATTGCTATTATTGTTATTTTGTGTCATGGATATGTTGATTTACATAACTTTCCTAAGCTAGAGCCTGCTTTGTCTGTTGAGGACATAAAGAAAATACAGTGCCAGCTAAGGTGGGGGCTTTCCTTTTCCGTTTGACATTGTTTGAGCCCTCATTTCTGCATAGTATTCTGACTTGTGTTTTTACTCACAAAAACCTGGAACACTCAGTCAGCAGGGGATGCCGGAAGTGGAGAATGACTCATTGGCTTCTGTTATGGTGTAAGAACTTGAGCTCTGAACTCAAAACAGAATTGGACAGTATAAAAATTGCACCCAAGGAATATTACCTTAAGCATATGGTCTCACTTAATTAAGTGATCATGTGAAATTCACCTCATAAACATACTTAATTTTGGATTGTAAAAATGCTATATTTTAAATTGAAATAAGCATGATATATGCCTGTTATCATATGCAGTGATTTGATTCCAGTTATGACATTATTCTTGATTAAGTATTTGAAGCTGCAGAATTCTGAGATCTTGATTAACCCATATAACAGAATTATTTACTCTGGAGTAGTCACTGAACTACATTTTCCCTTTGCCTAGGATGTGCTTGGGTTTTTTTTTCTCCAAATATGTCAATGAAGTCACCAGAAATCAAGTCTGATTCTAATTTGTCTTTAAAGGCTTATTTATTTGTTTGTTTGTTTTTGTTTGTTTGTTTTATTAGGAGAGAAATTATGCAAGCCTAACCACATAATTTCTTGCATCATTTTATAATTGCATTAAAAATAAATGCATTTTAACTAAATAGTAATTTAACTATTGTTATTGGAAGGAATCTTACCATATTTTATATATTCAATGAATATTACTGTATAATATGATAAAAAAAGGATGACACTGTTTTGTACTATTTGTCCTCAAGTTCAGTCCAGTTCAACCAAGGCAGTTAAAGCAAAATAAATTTTAAATTTCAGCATGGGCTGTGATTTTACATGCATTCATATTAGCTTGGTCCCACTGAACTTAATGTGGTTTAACATTTCATAGAACTATATGGAATTATTAACTTGTTTTTATACTTGAATCATAATGAAATTATATATGATTGTATAGCAAATAGTTCATTAAGTGAGGCATCAAAATTATTTGAGTAATGACATTCCTGTGAAAACAGCACATTATTGCAAAGAAAAAAGATTTGAGCAAAATAATTACATTATTTGTACCTTATTTTATATTGTTACAATAAAAACACAGTTTAATATGAAAAATGAATTTATTGTATATACTCAAATCTAGTATTTGTTGTTAGTGCTAGATTGTGCTTACTTTATATCGACAGTGATACTTTTTAGAACAAAGTCTTATTGACTTGCACACTTGCATAAGCTTGCATAGCATAGAATTCCAAACCCTAATAATACATTAAATGCTTCAAGGTGTGCAACTTTAGAATTGACATATAACAAGAGGAAGCTCATACAGGTTTTTATTTCCTTTTTTATTTTTTAATGTCTTTTTCTAATACAGCAATAGCAATTGCACTTAGACTTATATATCACTTCACAGCCCTCTCTCTAAGCGGTTTCATAGAGTCCAACAATCTGGGTCCTCATTTTACCTATCTCAGAAGGATGGAAGGCTTAGGCTGCTCAGAATCAAACTCCTGGAGTGAACAGTGAGTTAGCCTATTTTAACAAGAAGCATTCTAACCACTGCACCACCACGGCTCTTATATGCCTAAATGTGCTGTTTCAATAAAATTTGCACAAATTATTACAAAGGAATGTCATTTTTCCCAATGCCATATCTAAAGACTGTCATCTTCCCTATCTCCTGTCTCCCTTTGGGGGACTTTTTTGCTTAGTAATGGTTTCATTGTCATCAATTTCAATTGATAGCCTTTATAGCAACAAAAATACCACTTGATCTTCTGTCAGCAATAAAACTAGCAGTTCTTAAATCCAAAAAGTGTAAGAGCCCGATCTTTGTTTGATTTTTCATGTTTTGAAATAAGAGTACAATTTATAAAGCTATGTTAACTTTCAGAAAGCTGGTCCAGATATTATGATAAAAGAGCTTATTGAATCTGCCCAATACTAATTTTAGGTAAATGGCAGTATCAACAGCTTTATTGAACATCTTTACAGTAAGGTGGTACAATATGAAAGAAAAGAAAAGAAAACACCCAGTCATTGTTGCTGCTGGATCCACTGGTTCCTGGATTATGCCTGGCACTAATATTGTTGGTGCACCTATCCTTAATGAGAAAAGAATGTTTCACAATAGATTATAAATTAGGAAACAGATATGAAGCCCTATATCAGTCTTTGATTGGGAAATTCTTGATCAGGAAATTTTTAAGATGTCCCATGATAAAGCAGGCAGTTTTAGAATCTTTACTAGGGTTAAAGTTTCATGTATGGTTTGCTTTCCAAGAACTGTGTGCTTTAGGATAATGGGTAAAATAATCATTATTTAAAAAAAGATTCTTTTAAGGATTTGGGATTTTTGCCTAAAATTCACTTTTTAAGAGTAGGGGAAACATGTGATAACAAGCTTGAAAGATTCTGCAAAAGCAGAGTTTATGCTTCTGGATAAAATAGATAGAGCAATATGTATGCAAGATTTTTTCTTGTGTATTTTCCATCCCAAATCCATTTAAAACAATTCTGCAATTTTATCTAGGCAGGCATTTATTAACTGGCATTTATTGCTGTACTATCTTTATTTTAACAAGAAGCATTTTTGATGGTCTTAAACAAACACTAGTATAAAGTTGTGGAAACATTTTGATTAAATTCATGTGAAGAAAACTAATCTCATGTAGAAATTTCAAATGTTATCTTTAACTGCTTACACAATAGAAGTGTTAGATTTGTTTAGCAGGGTGTATTGGAGCATCCTTTTTTCACACAATTGAATGTTTTGTTAATTTCTCACGTATTTTTATTGTAATTATATATAGACAAAGATAAATATAGAACAATTACTTAAGTGATATGTGCTTTCACTGATTTTGAAATATTAGTACCAGCATAGGGCTGCAACTCTCTGCACTAATTGAAAGATGATTCCAAAGCAGACACTTCTCTCTCTTTCTTTCTGTCTCCCTCCCTCCCCCCTCCCCCTCTCCTTCCCTTCCTCTATCCCTCCCTGCCTCTCTCCTCCTCTGCACAGATCTTCTCTATTTGGAATAGAAAATGATACTGCCTTTAAAAGGTCATGTAATCTATTCACGAGTAACAATACAATTTAATTGTGTAAAACTGAATATACTATGTAAAGTTACCATATCTGGGCTGCAAAAATCTGGGTGATCACCATATTTATTGTGTCCATTTCAGCATCCTGTCTTTGCGGTAACTTTAGTCTTGAGATATGCCCCTGTAAATGCATTTGTTATTTAGTTGTACATAACTTATTGGTCTAACTTTACAGTGTGTAAGATTAAAAATTCCTTATGATGGTATGGTAGGTTCATTAAAATGATCGCTTTTTAAAAGTCCTCTGCAATGATTAAGGTAGATGTTTTTCTTGGAATTTTCATATAACCATTTAGATTCCCTGTTGATCTGTCTGTTTCTCCATTTTATTTCCACCACTGGTGTTTCTGTAATCCATCATGAAGCGTCTTGCTGTGTGAATGAGAAAAGAAATATTTCCACCACAGGTGGACCAGATTGCCTTCACTTCTCAATTGTTTATTGGCTTTCTCCCTTTGGCTTATATCTAGACTGGTTTCTACTGGCTCCTTGCAAGATCAACAAAAAGCATTTGATTTCTAGTAGGAGATACTTTAGAACTTTTTAAAATTAACCCCAGTAGGGGAAAGGAAAGTAATATACCAAAGACTGGCATGTTTGGAGAATATTATTAGCAGTTTAATAAAACACAAGCATGATTCCTTTTACTTATTTCAGTAGGATTTAATCCTACATAATATAGGCTTGATTCACTTGTAAAATGCAACATACTGGTATGTGTTCATTTTTTCATGAAATTGTCCTTAGATGAATTATTGTTTGAATGTAGCAGAGTAAGACTTTTTGTCTCAGATTATGGAGCCTTGGGTATATTTCCCCCAATCCATAGTTCAAAGTGAAAACTTCAGATTCTGAGTAGTGAGAAGTAACAAATCA